TGCCATTTCGCGAAGTCACCAGTATGCATAGTAATGGAACGGATATTATTGAATTATCTATATAGATAATGGGTAAAAATGATATTTCATATTTTTACATATAAATATATAAATAATAAACTTATATCACATTTCTTTCATAATATTAGAAGGTTATTTCCATATTGAACATTGTACTCGTACATGAATCTACAAAGAGCTCTGCACTATCAAATAATTATATATGATAAAAATATGACCTATAATCTATTTATTTTTTAACATGTTTTAAAAAATGTAATTACTGGAATAGTTAGACACCTCTAAGCGTTTGTCATTTTCTAGGTTAAGACTGTTAAGAGCTCTGCCCGTCAGATTTTCATTTTGACATACTTATTGGACCGCATTAAAACGATATTTAAAACTATAAAATCTATAACTTATATATGAGAGAAAGTATCATGTAAAATAAACCCAATAGTATTTCCAATAAAAATGAGTTCATTCTTTATTGTATGAAGACAAATTTTCCAATAATAGTGTTATGATGGTTAGGAAAACAATGATAAAACTTTTCGTAGTAACCTCAGTATTTTTTGTATACCTTATGGTTTATATGAAACAAAAAATTCCTATCCTACACAAAAATATTTTTTAAGAAAAATGTGATTTAATTATATTTTCAGTATGTATGTTTGTTTTAAATTACTAAATTGCTTAAACTTATTTCCTAAGGTACGTGTTTTTAACTTAATTGTTTGATTTTAAGGTCAGTTAATAAAATACTTTATTATTTTAGTGTTATGAAAGGCATTAATTGTCTGAATTGTTTTTCTGTCTCGTATTTAAAACACCGACGATGAAAATTTAAGTGTATAAATACTGTAGTGCAAAAACAAGCCATCAAATAGAAAGTAATGCTTCGTTTAAGAAAAAATTAGATAATGCAATATTTTAAAACCAAATCCTTCGGTAAAATGTTTGCTTTTTATTATAGTGTACGGTGGCGTATATCTGAAATTAAACTAGTGGAGAAGATTGAATTTTAACAATTTAGAATAGTATTCACTCCTCTACACTCATTAACCAGATTTTTAACTTTTTTATAGGAATATTTAAATTTTTGATTTTGGCTGGATTGATAAATACATTTCAATAAATTTGTATTAATTTTACAACGATGTGTTTTTTTTTTTTTTATAGTGGAGAAAATGCCTTCATTTTTCACATTGAGGGTGGTTTCTATTAACAAATTGGATCTGGTTTGTACTTTAATCTTTAGGGTGTTAAAAGTAAAAAAAGAGACTTTTCAAAATAATTGAGTCACAAAACAAAAAAAGTTTAAATACGAATATTTATTAAAATTGTATATAATTACTGAAGTAAGTAATTCTTGCTATTTTACTATTAATATTTAATATATTATAAAATATACTTCATAAACGTATATCTGTCGTTTACGTTCAAAATCGTTTTTATCTTTCACAATGATTCATTATTGAATTCAAATGTAACACATCTATCACAGTGACCTATTTAATTACGAGACACACCCTACACGTATACTGTACGATAGAGCAGTTACCTACGTGATGGTTTTTTAAATTTAAATTTAATTTATTGCTCACTTGACAGTTTTACTACTATAGAATACAATTATTATATAATAATAAATACAAAAAAAAAAATCAAATACCTAACTCCATGCCTCATCTCATATAACCTCTTGTGCAAGTAGAACACATAGATTTGTTTTAACACAAGGTATTTGAATAATTAATTTCAGTATCAGAATAAATAAAAAAATGTTTTAAAATAATGTTTTTGCAAGTTATAACAATGCATTATGATATAATTTACGTATAATTCGTTCATCTAGGCACCATGACTGTATTTTTTTTTTTTTTTTTTGAACAGTAGTCTAAAAACTATATATACTCTTACATATTATATTGACAAAATTGTCACTTTTGGACCACTGTTTTTTTTTTTTTTTTTTTTTAATGTAACGGTTTCTGAGTGCTAATAGGTGAGCTAGACGGGTCGTCTTACGCAGACGTTATATTTTGGAGGCATGTGTGGAGTTTTGGGGCACGACGCGTGGAGTGCAGCAGTCCCGCGCAAGAATTTCCGAATCAAAAGAAAAAATATAAAACATTGGTAGGTAATATGCGTGCCGAGGGCGCGGAAACTAAAAATACCGTTACGCAATATCGTAATAATACAATTATTTTCATACGCATAATAACGTTTATGCGTGTTTATGATGTGTGTACGGTCCGATCAATCATCCGTCAAATCGAAGCCGAACCGTTTATAAAAAAACTGTATTTCCTGCAAATCGATGACGACGACGACGACGATGATACGATATGCGCACGGGGAGATCGAACACCGGCCATTACCGGTGGTCGTCGATTTTTATTCCGCCCGTCATATATTTTCACTGCTATTTTCGCGCTCCAACGTCACATCGCATTATTATTATTATTATTATTATTATTATTATTATTGTACCCCGCGCACAATACAATACACGCATACACCCAACAGTCAACAGATCGATGACGTTTCGCCGCGATGATTGACCCGTCTGTCACGCGACACATACCCTGCACATCACCGTATCCGTTACAATGGCTGAACTCGGCACATGACATTGTATGCCAACCGTATACCTAACTTCGTGACTGTTATTATTGTAATTCACCGGGCACCCGATGTGATGATCGGCCAAACCGGGAAGTGCTCGTGTCAAAAAGTGACGAATTGGCAACGCGTGCAGCACGCCGCCGTATATTACATTGTCCGTCAGACACTCAAACTCAAAGGTTTTTTTGTCGTAGCATTTCCCCCCCCCCCCCCCCTCGATGTACGAGCCGACCGCTTTTTATCCATCTTATCGTTGTTGTCGTCGTATTATTGTTTCGTTTTTTTCAATTTTTTCCACCGTCAAAAGGTGTCCGACCGGCGGCGCCGCTCCAGAGATGTCGGTCTATAGGTCGCGTCACTCGATCGGGACAAATCGACCGTGAAAACTGTACCAACACGGTATAGCGATGTGCTCTCGAAATGAGAGGGGGCGCTCAAATGACGGGTGGGTGAAAAAATATAAACGTTCGCGTTTCGGTGGCAAATAACCATACATATTACATATATATATATATGTATATAATATGGCATAATAATAATTATTGGTCGACGTACCTATGTATCGGACGACGCGAAAGCACATTTCTGTGCCGTGATTAATGTGTATACCCGTCGTACGCATAACGTAGCACGGGTCATCGACGTGTTCGGCCGATCGAGTGTCGTTATTATTTCTGTACATATGACACGTAATATTGCACAGAAATTCCGTGCTGGAACCTTGACCGCGTTTTCGATTTACTACGAGTATTACCGTGTACGTTACCATGCAGATGATGACGTGTTCTTCTGCTGAGGTCGAAACGAAAATCTGACATCAAACGGTTAGGTTATAGGAGAGAGACTGAATAGGACTGTCGGAGAGGATCGACCAATACGGAAAAAGAACTATACAATATAATTATTATATAATATATCCGTTTATGAGTACGTATAATAAACTATAAAATATGATCGTTATACAATTATTTTTAACGCTTAAATTTATGTATCGGTTTACAAGTCTTATAATCGTACAATAATAGATAAGTATATTATAATGTATTATTATATTAATAATTATATGTCTTACGGTTAAGATTACAATCCAGTGGCGTATTAACGGTTGGTTCGTACTCCATGGAGCTGATATAATTTTTTCGAAAAAGTCACTGACAAAAATTGAGTTTAAAGGTTATAATTTAATGTGAAAGAAGAAAATGTATGCATTTAATTCAATTAAAAAAAAAGTTAGTTTATTTTTATTTTTTTTGCAATTACTCCCTTGGACGCATATAATTTAGTTTTGTGCTACTTTCACATTTTTAAAATAATAATAACAATTAAACATAATCTTAAAAATGTGCGCTTTGATATTTCTTATTATTGTACTCGTAAACTAATTGTTTAGGCAATATTAAACTTTTGTGTCGACAAATTTACGAAACTAAAAAAATGACCTATTCATTTATATTTAAAATTATTGCACATATACTGTAACTACGATTTAACTAAACGTATTATTTTAGACTCTGAGCGACTCTAATGAATGTATTGATTTTACCATGATGTGTGTTTTTCTTAGTGTAACATACTTGTAAATACTTCAATGTACAAGTTTATTTTTTATTTATTTTTTTTTTTTGCTACGATTTTTCGACCGCATATACTACCCCTAGTTTAAATCTAAACTACACCCTCTTTATTCGTTTCAAATTATTTTAAGCTACTATCGCTTATGTAAGAACAAATAATAGTTTCGTTTTAGAAAGAATCGTTATAAAATCATTGAAAATGCACCACTAAATCTTCTATGTTAAATAAAAAGCACAACTACTATATTATCAAAAGTATATAATAATATAATATGTATATGCCAAGTTGCATAAAAAATTGATAAACTTAACGGTTCTTTAAAATTTACTGGAACAATTTCCGATCATTAAATTATGTTTAAGGGACCATTAGCACATTATTGATTCATTGAATGCTTAGTGATTTCAGCTTATGACTAATCTTCATGCAACCTAGCAATAAAGTTACAAACGGTTTCCAAAAGTAAACGAACGGCTTTCAATCGAATAGAGTTTTACAGTTTGTTCAGAAGGTTAAATATCGATTTCTGCACATTTCTCAAAAAACTTATTTAAATTTAGGTAATACAATATATATATAATGGTATGACGATATTTTAAACTATTGATTGTTTGACGTGCAAACGCAATTCATAATAATATATAATAAATGCATTATACGCGAGTTAGAATATAAATATATAAAAAATAAAAAAAATAAAAAAAAAAATAATAATAATTATAATATAATAATTCTATAAATAAATAACAAAAATAAAAACTAATTATAAAAAAAAAATAATAAAAACGAGTACTTTTTCACACACACGCACATAAATACATAAAGATACAAACACACTACAATATTATGTAGATATATATTGTGTATAAACGCGCACAAGTCATATTTGTATGCATCTAATGATTTAATAGTTCAATCTTCTTTTCACGTCTAAATCTGAATCAGTAACACCGCGCTCTTGGTTTCTATAGGCACGAGGTTTGTCCTGATATTCTCTGATACGGTCGTTGTATCTCTCGATTTGCTCTTGCAACATCCTGTTCTCGATCTACGGTAACGAAAACAAAAAAAAAAAAAATGCTTAGATAAAATATTTACTTACAAATAATTTTTTGGGTACAATTACATAATAATAATATAATATATTAATAATAAACATTAAAATATATTATAACGGTTCGTTAATACGACAACTTTATGTAGACAACATTACTGCTAATAGCATTTATGCTTAAAAAATCGTTTTATTGATCGAATGTCGACAATTGACCAATTGGGCCAGACCGACGCCGGTGGTCATTATATACGTTTAGACAAAAGTATCTTTAGAATATAATGTTATAAGACACGAGTACAAAAAATCTCGTAAACGATTATGGATGAAGAAAAATGTGATGCTTTTTTAAACGCATCAAAACTACGTGAACTTAAATTGTTTTAAAACGTCAAACACAAAATGCTTTTGGTGGAGAATTGAACACGTGTCGTATATATAAATATTGTTTCCAGGGGGCACGATTTTCTCATTGAATAGCAGTAAATAATTTACACTCACCATTGCTCGTTCCTCGTCAAACTCCAGACAACCAATACCGTCCAATTTGTCCAAGTCGATGCGCCCTTTCCACCGGACGCACACACCATTCATTATGAAATGCGACAGTATGTGAACCTATGTGGGCAAAGACAAATTGATGGAAATTAGTTACAAGTAAGCGCAATATATACATATATACTATATATGTACAGTTTGTTAGTTAAAATCAGAAACAAATAACAAAGAATATAACAATTATATCATACAGGTAGACCAAGCTATACCAACTAGTTGTGTACGTTGTACACGACGAAAACGTAAAAATATTTTTTTTTAAGAAAAATAATAGTAATAATAATAAAAATAATAATAACTATAGTTAGCATATGATCATAATTTAGCAAGTTTAAATTTATAAATGATTTATGATATTTTATTTTTTTTTTCGTGCCAAAAATTAAAAATTGTTTGGTCAGATTAGTTTGGGTTTACTTATAGAAGAACTGAAAAAGTGTCCACCGTGTTTGAGAAATGCATAATTATTATTTGAGAACACGATGAAAATGTATAGTTCATCTTTTAAAATCAGAATTTTAATTTACGAAAATTATTATAGCTTTTTATGTATTGGCTGTGCACTTGTGTAACAATATTATTAATGTATTCATTTATTAATTTTAAATTTAAATAAATTGAAAAATAAATTCTAAAAATCGTATATAACGATTGCTCATATAGTATACTACATAAAACCGTGACTATGCTAATACTTCAAAAATATGAATTAGAAAAAAGTAATAGATGAGGACAGACACGGTGAGACATATTGTATACTCGTATATTTTAATTTATAATAACATATTATATATTTACAGTCCACCAATGTTTAAATGTTTAAATGTTTAAATTATGATTAATATTTTATTTAAATACAGTACATATAATTTAGGTAAACAAGACGATTAAATTCGATTTAATTATTGTAATATCATTCAAAATAATCAAATGTACCAAATATGTATATTTTTCAATTTTATTTAGTCGGAAAAGATTAAACTTCTCGTCCCGCTTATATATTTACGTAATAAATATTATACATTATTAATACAAAAATACACATGTAAATTATACAAGTATGTATTATGTCCTGTCATGTTTTTCAAATATTCATACATATAAATAATGAGAATCCATTATAATATCATTTTTACAAAGAAAACGATGATATTAAACTTCATCTCTGCACTTAACGCGATATATGACCGTAAATATAACCGTTTATCCGTCGTGTTTGAATTACAATTTCTATAATCGAGGGTTAGGGACATCACATGTATATGTTTAATCATTATAAATTCAGCCAGGCCGTATGCGTACAAAGCATATTGTGTATGTGTGTGAAAGGGAGAGAGAGAAAGAAAAAAATAGGGACGAGGAGAAGAAATCGGCGGCGTGTCGGTCAAAACCGAAAGGTAGAGAACACGATAAAAAAAATTAGTATGGGGTCTTGGCAAATTAAGAAAAAAAAACAAAGTATACTTATTAGAAGAAACGACGATATTATATACTCGCGTACTCAAACACGGTCGCCGACAAGACCGTAAATGTCGATTTATGTGACCCCCTCAAATACCCCACCCACCCATCATTATAATAATATATTAATATTATATACTTATGTACAGGGGAGGAGTAGAGACGGACGGACGGATACGGTGCTGCTAGAAACCAGTACTGAAATCGTCGATAAATTTCATCCTCCGAAGACACAAACGGCCTCTTATATATATATATATGCTTCGACTGCGCGATTGTATTGCTTGGGACAATATTGCAGTCGAAACAAAATGGTTTTTTTTTTTATTATTTTTTTTTCTTTCCCTCGATACCGTCACATTATCATTTCTTCGGTGTCGTGATTATTACAATAATTTTTAAAAGAACGTAACAAACCCCAAAGAAGGTAGGTTAGTATAAACGTCCTGTCGCGGGTTGTTTTCAAACGTATATGTGCGATGCCGCCACTTCGTTAAACGACAATAATAATATTAATAATAATAATCCATCACAAGTTCAATATATACCTCCTTCTGAAAAGTAATCATCTAATACTACCTGAACCGTTCGCAGGACCATAAAAATCTACGACCTAATTTTACGACATTCACGCCGACCCGCAGCGCCGAGTTAATATACGATTAATCGTAATCGAGAAAAAACGAAATATAGTATGATGGGCAAACACACGGAAAATTTATTAAATTGTGATTTTTTTAAAATACATTATATTATTTATAGTGATTTTTGTAAAATCTACAATATAGATAAACATAATGTATTAATTAGAACAAAAATAGCGAATAAAATACTTTGTGTGGGACATACAAAAAACTCACCCATAGAAAAAATAATATTTTATAAAAATGTATTAAAATTATCGCTGAGAATTAGCAAAGATAATAAATTATAAAAAAAATGTAATATGTATTTATTATGCATAATAATATGTTCTATGTAAATCAAACTGTATCTCTCCCTTTAACATAGTTACGAAACACAAAAAAAAAGATTGTATTAATTTTTATTTTTATTTTTACTTAATTTTCTAATGATCCTAGCGACTGCGGGTCGCCAAAAAAAAATCTTAGGTCTGTATGGTCCGATAGTATACAATACATAGCTGATTTACGTTTCAAAATCAAACTATTATAATAATATTATCTAATGACGAACATTCGCAAAAATCATCTAGGTAACAATATAAATTGTAATTAAAACGAGAAAATCACACTATAAATTTGAATATTTTCTTATTAAGAATCCTCTATCTGATTGTTTGTAGGATTTTCTACGATAATTCAATTTTTTTAGTTAGTCTTGCGTTTATAATAGTCCAGCTTCAAAATTCTTACAAATAGCTTAAAAACCGAACTATCATGATTAAACCGACATACGAACACAGGAAAATACAAGGAAGTACATAATAATTTTCTCTTGATTAAGTTTCATAAGTAATTCGTAATTTCATTAATTCACTTCAATATTAAAGTCAACTTAGCTAAACGTTAGGTGTAACCCGAGATAGAAGCAATAAATGCGTGTATGACGTCCTTTTAAGGGACAAAAATGACGAATATCTAATAATGCTATATTATTATAACATGTATTGCGTTTTAATATGTATGTATATAAGTATATAGGTAAATATACTAGCAGGACATCAAGTGCTACCCCTACTTTTGGCGTTATATGCGTTATACGTGTATATACAGTCGCTACAAAAAAAAAAAAAGGATCACGAGTGAGTCCTTTTGTTTACCAACATCCAATTAGACGTGGAAACGGAGTACAATCGCGTCGCATGGAAATGCATTGTTTTTAACTCTGATCTATTGTGGAAACGCGCGCGCCACGTGTTCTCCTCAAGACGTGTGCTTCTCATTAGCGTCACACAACAAAATCAAACAAAACAAAACAAACGCGCGTACGACGCATTGACAATAATATAATAATAATCGCGAAACGTTCTTGCCGACGACATAGTACATTATTATTCACCTATATATTATATTATACTCGTACAGAGCACGCGGGAATATATTTTACTAATAATAATATGATTTCGCCCGGTGATCATAATACACTCGCGTATGATATAATAATAATATGTGGACAGGATTTAGCGAAAAATAATCATATATTATAATAAGAACACAGCGCCAGTGTTTGCAGTGTGTCCTTTGTCTCACGTTAAACCAGAGCTCGTTAGCGTAAGCATGTAAAATAAGTTTATGTACACATCGCACGACGTATATATAATATATATATTACTGTAATCCGCACATAAAATATGGAATGTCATAAAATACGAAAGTACCTAACAGCACAAGCGACAAGTTTTTTTAAATTTTTGTTCTTTAAGTTTAAAGATTTAAATTTTAAAGTTTTGAGAAGCGCAACAATATCGAAACGTGTGAATTTACAACAGTTGAATTATAATATTACCTTACCTAGATGTCCATATAATCATGAACTGTGTACGAGTAGGTACATGGTACACCGTTAGATAGTATATTTAGAACTTTACGTATGTATTATAATAAGGTAGATTTAGAATTTTGGCAGGCCAGGGTAAAAAAGATTACGAGCCTCTGGATCTAATATATCTTTCTTTCTTTTTCATGCTACATTTAAAATAAATCACATTTTCACGTTGATTTATCAACTCTATTTTTTTTTCAACGCACAGCCACTAACATCAATGAACAATTAAGTGAAACAAAAAAATACAATTTTTATTTTATTTCATGAGTAGTTTGACTAATAACTATGCTATCAAAAAATATATTTTGGTGCATACGTAATGTATTATGTTATGTATAAAGCGATAATTTGTCTGTACTTTATCATATTATTAATACGTTTTAAGATGATTCGATTATTACGCATTTATACATTACGGAATACCAAAATAAAATGTAAAGTGTATATCATGAATCATGATCCACCATTGATATACTACTATAACATATTCCCGCAGCTCTCACTACTCGCATGCGATATTTCCGTAACAAAAACCATCATTTCTGAACGGTAGATCACAATAAACACCTGAACGCAGGCGTTTTGATCCCGTGTACAAATATACCTATAGGATAGGTATAATACTTCATACTTGTTTACTATTATATTTATTTTTCTGGTTAATTCCTTCTTTCTTATTTCTTTTTTTTTTTTCAGAGGCGATGAAACGAACCCGAGTAAACACACGCCATCACAACAGTGGCGTGAATGCGGAGAAATCGATCCCTTATAGACGGAGTATAAATACTTCGTGGACACAACCCTTTTTTTTTTCTTTTTCGATCCACACACAAGTTTCAATAACGATATAAAGTCACGAGAAACCGGATCAACGTCAAATAAACGGGAACAATGAATACGCCACATTTCTGTCCTATTTGTATCATACCATACACTTTGAAAATAATTTCGCAGGGATTTATATAATATTATATGTATAATAAATATATGTATTATTGTACGAGCCAGCCCCGTATACTGCGAATGGCCCCCTCTGCATGCATCCCGCCGCATTCTTAATCAACTCTCAGCTGCTGCGTTTTAAATTTACT